GAAATCCATTAAAAACTCTCAGCTCTCAAGACTGCCAGATGCTGAACCTTTCAAGTGGCAGTAGGCCTGAACTCTGGGCTCTGGGCTCTGGGCACCCAAGGATGGGGGTTCAACTTTGACTTGGCCATGATTTGCATGTGGCCCCCAAGGCGATGCCAAGGCGATGCCAAGGCGCTGCCAAGGCGGTAGGTGGTAGGTGGATCGATGTAAAAAATGTTGCAAAACTGGTTGCACAGAGACCGTGAGTGCCCTGCCTGTGCTCTCTCTCTCTCTCTGTCACTCTCTCCATCTTTCTCTCTGTCCCTTTGCGGACAGTGGGGCACCTTGCTTTACGAAATTTCTTCACTTTCGGTTTCGAATTCGGTTTCGGTTTCGGTTTTCTCTGCGGCTGCGCAGCCGCATCATGGCGACGACGACGACGACGACGACGACGCCGACGCTGACGGCCCCCCTGGGTATTACCTATATGAGCTGGCGTTATCATCTGAGCGGCAGCATTTTCCATTCGATTGTGACAAGCAGCGGACGACCGTCGCCCGTTCCGTTTGCCCGATAGATCAGATCCCCGCCGTGAGATCTGTCCACCCCATCCATTCCCAAACGTCTCGTCTCGTCTCGTCGCGGATATCATATTTGTTTTTGTTGTTTTTTTTTTTTTTGATTCCCCTATCATCGTCACCCCGCCCCCTCGAAAAGAAAAACGAACGCGCATAAACAACCGTAAACAATCCTTTTGTGAAGTGCGAAATATATCTTTGAATTTTTTGTTCAAGTGAGATTTTCCAAAGGATAATCAAACAGCAACATCACCATCTGGTCAGCTCTATCCTCCACTGGCATGGTAAAGAATCATTTCCCTAATTGGACCCAAGTGCCCCAAGGATTACCAGGGGACAAGCGGGCTGGGGAGGGGCAGGGGGTGGGGGAAAGCCGAAACACGAGGCCAATTATAAATGGCTAGGGGTGGGGGTGGGGGTGGGGGATCGGGGGGGTCTTAAAAAAGAAAACTCAGCCAGCAGGGGGACTGGTACTGGCACTGGCAGTGGCATCTTCAGCGGATGATGCATGGGAAATGCCAATGAAAGTAAAAGTTTTTGGCAGCTTCAAGGCGTTGCCCGGCGAATGGCCTACGAATTCCAGGAGAAATTCCGGAAGATAATCCCAATATATTTATCTAAAAGTTGGTTGGCTGGCTCTGAGGCTAAGAACCTATTCAAACAACCCAAAAATATACAAATTTCAGGGATATAGCCCCAATAGATTCCAGCAAAAATTACAGCATTTTTATGCCATGGAAAAATTGCTTGGAAAATTACCAAAAATATATCCCAGTGCCAGGGGATGCCACGCCTGCGCCTTGGCCTTTCGACCTACACAAACGACCTCTGTTAATTGATGAGGGTTCTATCTGGCAAATGAAAATTGACGCAGGACCAAAAACGTGTAAGGCAAATCCTTGCCCAGCAGATTATTCATTTGCCAAAGCAGAGCAGAGCGGAGCAGAGGTCTGGTCTTGTCTCTAGACATAATTTATTCATTATCGAAATTGATTCATAAATAATTTCGCATTCACCAGAAAGAGAGGCAAATTTAATTAACGCAGATTACGATTCTCGACTTTTGGAGTGCGGGGAGAGTCCCACAGCTGTGGCCAAAAAACTTGAAGCCTTTGGGAAGGGTGGTGGGGGGGTGCAGGGTGGTAACAACAATAAGTTTTTGGCCTGCCAAAAAGCATGGGTACGAGGACGAGGATGTGTCTGCCTGGGCAACCCTTTTTGGCCCCTGCTCCGGGCCTGGCTCTGGCCCTGGCCCTGGCCCTGGTCCCCTCCAGTCGTGTATCGTGTCGTTCATCTTCGGAAGCAAATTGTAGGTTTTCTCAAAATGAGAGTGAAAGTTTTTCGCCGGCCGTTTGTTTGGTTAGTTGTTTGTTTATTTGCCCATTTGTTGTTTCAGTCTGCTGCTGGCCTGCCCGCCTGCCTTTTGTTGCTCTTGTCAATTGTTTAGCATCAATAACAAATATTTTGTGAGCTATGCTAATGAGCAGAAATCGAAGAAGAAAGCTACCATGGGAGTGCCTCGAAAAACTGTTACCTGTCCCCACTGATCACTGATACAGTCATCCAGTGGTCCAGTGATCCAATGATTCAGTGCCGAGACAGTCGCAAATGTGAGGCAACACTTTGGCCCACTGACTCGGTGACTTTGATCAAAATAATAGCCATACCAGATAAATAGACTGAAAAGATACGATTGATACGCAGCAAGACGTTGCTTAGATACTCTTTGAAATGCGGGAAAGTCAAATGGATTCTCGGCAATTTAAGCAGCAGAAATTGCACCATTTCGGAGTTCATGGGGATACCTTTTTAGAGCAACAAAGTTAGTGCCTTTAGTAGATCATATATTAGCAAATGCAACTATCAAAAATTTGGAAATTTGTATCTTTTTTTTATAACGAAAAGTCTCTGAAAGTTTTCCTCAAGATGGCCATCTATTGGGCACTTTCAGCCCATAAAACCTTAAGATATAGCCTGATTAGGACTCACTTCCCGAATTCCACAAAACTCCAGGTCATGGCTCAAGCTCAGATCGAAGTGTTGGTACCCTCTGTAAAGGCTATACCCTGTGAAAGACTTCGGGCAAAAGCAAAAACGAATTCAGTGAAGTTGAAGTTGCAACAACACAGCAATAGCAACAGCAACAGCAACAGCAAGTGCTGGCCACATGCGGGTCACTTCACACGCTTCAGAGACAATGGGGCACAGGGCCCGCCTCTCCCCTACCCCATTTTTGTGGCCCCTTGCCACATATGCCACCCGCCCCCCCCCCCCCCCCCCCCCCCCCCCCTCTTTGGCAGCTTGCTTTTAATTGTTTGCCATTTCTTTTATAATGTATTTTCATTATGCGGCACATAATTTCACTGCCAGCATTTGTGACACCTACTCATCCTCCTGGCCAAAAGATACATCCACATCCAACGGCCAACAGCCAACAGCCAACAGCCAACAGCCACTCTTCCACAGATACAAAGATACATTGAGCAAAGTGAAAGTTACTTTTTTTTTATTCGGGGGTCTCTTCTTCGAACGTCTTATGCGCTGCTGCTGGCCGCTTATGACATTTTAACGCCACGGCCGCTGGCCAAAAAGACAAAAATCTCTACTTTGGCTTATTGTGATATTCAATGCGCATCGCTGACCATTGAGGTGCACTTTTTCCAAAACTCTGATTGCCCCCACCTCCCATCCCCCCCCCCACGAAAACCCGAATTGCCACTCTTATGCAATCCCCAGACCCAGATAGAGAGAGAGAGAGACAGGCAGTGGCCGAGGCAGAGGCAGAGTAAATGGCATAATATCATAGCTATTACGCTACATTATGGCCAAAACGAAATGAAGATGATGGCTTGTAATGCCACCGCATGGCAGATGGTTCTATGTGAACTCGGGCCTTGGCCCAGAGCCAGAGACAGCTATGAAGAGCTTTAAGGGCTCGTCTACAAGTTCAAGTTCTACAAAGATCTATGGTTCGAGATGTGCGTTGTAAGATAATAGTTTTTTGAAAGAATTATTGGTTCCTAAAGATGGATATAATAGCTTAAATTTAGGTAAAAGTAGGTTTATTGGATGCCTTATAATTTGAAGGAAATGGTCTTGTCTTTCAAAAGGTTACAAGCGATGGAATAGAATGCGCCTTCTTTGGGGGATCTTAAGTGAATTCTCTGAGTGTTAATCTCTTTAGAAGAAGTGTACAGAAGACAAAAGAGAGTACAAATTTACAAAACTTTTGATTTTCTAACGAGTTTAACGATTTTATAGTAATTTTTTATGCCATTCTCTCCGGTATTTCAATTTGTTGTACTAAAGGTGAGCGTTTTTTGAGTGATCTAAGGATGCAAAGTTCAACCAAAATTCCTTGTTTCCATCCAGCAAATGTCTTTCCAGGGAAGACCACTTTCCGTTGGAAGATCTAACATGCAATAACTATCTTTACAAGGAATCAAACCAGTCACTTTTGTGTCTTGAAGGCTCCCAAGACTTGCATCATCTTTGAGAGCCCTTCTGCCGATCTCCGATGGGTTCAAAGAGTATGCCGTGTTCGTCTGTCGCTCTTTGGCTTGCTTGTGGGCTCTGTGGAATGGCCAACTGTTTGTATCTTTTGTTATTGTTTGGCATTACCCCGTGGCTGTGGCTAATTCGCGTGTTGTGCGTGGAATTTTGAAAGAAGAGTCGTCGTTGTTGCTGTTGTTGCGTTGCCGCATTTGTTGTTAAACATAAAACCAATTAAACAGCCGAACCGCCTGAATGTCTGACTCTCGGTCCAGTCCAACCGTCGGTGTTCCCTTCTTTTTTTTTTGTATTTTCGGTGGGTTTTCGACTCGGAACCGCCTGCTGAATTATTGATGATCATGATGGGGCCGAACCGGCGACAGCAGTGCTACCCCGATACCCCGATACCCCGTCACAATCATGATGACGTTGACGATGGCGATGATGATGTCGCCTGGCGCTGGTTTATGTTTTAATTAGAGCGTAATACGCCAACGGTTTGTCGGGCAACCGCAATGGCAATTACGTTGGAAGGTTGACTGCAAATTAGCGCAGATTATGGTTACACATGAGGCCAACAAAAGGGGTCGTGGGTCGTGGGTCCTCGGTTGCTGCCCCCAACGACACCTGACAACATGCCGCTGGCCCTGCCCCTGCCCCTGCCCCTGCCCTTTCCCCGGAAGAGGTGACTTCTCTCGGCGATCTCGGCGACCCCTGTGACAGGGCCCTGACAGGCAAAAAGGTCTGTCGGTCTCGACAGCTGACAAATGTACGGCGCGGGTCAAGGGGGGGTGGGGAGGGGGGTTTGGGGACTGGTGATTGGCGGCTCAGGGACAAGGGCTATTAACTGTTAGATAATATCCCATCTCAAGCAAGGTGGATGGCTTTTCTTTTATGATAAATTACTAAACCCACATTCTCCTCCCCTCCCCTCCCCGCCCTCTTCCGTAGATGCTGCTACGTTTGACCTTGCTGGCAACGGTCTGCTTCTGCGCCGCCCAGGCAGTGCTCAATGGCAAGGAGCTGAAGCGCCGTGAGGCAGGCTTTGACACATACGGACCACCGCCCCGGCCGGCACCACAGTACGGACCACCGCCACAGCAGCAGCAGCAGCATGTGCCCCACCGCGAGTACGGGGTGCCGCAGCAGATACCCTTCCGGGAGTATGGACCGCCGGCCCTGAAGTACGGACCCCCGAAGCTCAATTTCCTGGGCGGTGGGGGCGGCGGCGGCGGCGGCGGCGGCTCCAGTCTGCATGAACAGATCAAGACGCATTTCGGTGTGCCCAAGCCGTTCTACGGACCACCCCACATCCAGCACAAGCCGGCACCACAGTACGGACCACCCAAGCAGCAGTACGGCCCGCCGCCACCGCAGCCCGCCCCTCAGTACGGCCCACCACCACAGCCAGCACCGCAGTACGGCCCACCCCCCTCGCCTCAGTACGGGCCCCCACCGCCGCTGAAGATCCAGCACCGACCGTCGCCGCAGTACGGGCCACCGAAACCCCAGTACGGACCACCCCCACCACCCCAGCACCTGCCGTCACCGCACTCGGGGCCCCTGTTCAAGCCCGCCCACCAGCCGGCCAGCTCCTATGGACCGCCCGCCTCGGGACCCTTGAATCTGCCGCCCAAGCCCCACTACGACGCCCCGCCGCCCAACTATGGACCCCCACCGCTGCCCATCTCGCTGCCGGGACCACAGCCGGCGAGCTTCAACCGTGTGCCAGAGACGACGATCATCCTCACATCCGGCGGAGGACACCATGGACAGCAGGGACCTGGTGGACCCAGTGGACCTAGTGGACCGAGCGGCCCAGGCGGACCATTGAGTCAAGTGCAGATCCAAATTGATGCCTCGGGGCACACACACAGCGTCAGCGGCTCCCAGGCGCCCTTCCACACGGCCTGCGACGGCTGGAAGCCCATCCCGGCCCCGATTGGAGCCTACGTGGAGCAGAATCACATCGAAACGCAAGGCGGCTACAGCCACGTGGCCCAGGGGCATGGCGGCTTCGGTACTCAGTACAGTGGTGGGGCAGGAGCAGGAGTGGGTGCCACCGGAGGAGGCAGCATCATAGACGGCCTGTCCGATGAGCAGCTGGTGGCCGTGGCCTTGCAGGGCGGCAACGATGGTGGTAATCTAATCACAGGACCTGGGGCTGGACACCTGAACTCCATCGAATCGGAAGCTCTCCAGGTGGGTGTCCTTTTCGAGTGTTTAAACGTTTCCCCCCCGAACTTAAACCATGTCCATGTGCCTTTTCAGCTGTCCATTGGATCCCTGGATGATTCGTACTCGAAGCCACCGTCGGACTCCTTTGCTCCTGGATCTGTGCACGCCCAGAAATATCAGACGATTGGCTCCGGTCCCGGTCACGGACCTCCACCCCCACCCAGTGGAAACTATGGACCCCCACCCAACGGAAACTTTGGACCCCCACCCAATGGAAACTTTGGACCTCCACCGCCACCAAATGGAAACTACGGGCCGCCACCACCGCCCAACGGAAACTACGGTCCACCGCCGCCGCAATTTGCGGCTCTGACTAGCAGCAGCAGCCACGCCCAATCGAACAGCCAGTCCCATTCGAATGTAAACATCCAGTACGGTCCGCCCTCGGGTAACCCACAGCCATTCCCCCAGCACGGAGCCGGGCAGCCCAACAAACCGGTAGCCTATCGCCCACCAGTGCCCGCGGGGCTCCTGGAGTCGATTGGAGCCACTGTCCAGCACTTGGACCAATTTGGTGTGAAGCCAGCCCAGCAGCCACAGACGTACATACCCCCCGCTGCCAACGAGATTCCCGTGGGAGGTGGTGCACCACTGCCCGCACCACAGGCCTTGTACCAGCCACCCCCGCCACCACAGGGTGCTCCTCCACAGGTGATTGTGCAGCAACAGCTGCCACAGCCACAAGCAGGACCCGCGTTCATTCACCAGAAACCTGGAGCCCTGCAGCAATATGGTCCTCCCGGACCGCCACCACCGCCAGAGCCGCAATATCTGCCACCCCCACCGCCAGTGGCGAATGTCCGTCCCCTCGGACCACCACCGCCGCCATCGCAGCAGTACCTGCCACCACAGTTCTTCCAGCAACAGCAGCAGCAGCAGCAGCACCAACACCACCAGCACTCTGAGAACAGCTACAGTGCCTCGCAATTCCAGCAACAGTTTGTCCAGAACCAGGGACTGCCCCTGCCGCAGCAGGCGCCGCGTTTCAATCAGATCCCCCAGCAGCAGCAGCAGCAGCAACAGCAGCAACAGCAGCAGCAGCAGCAGCCCATCATTGTCCATGATTGCGGACATGGACCCAATCTTGTGAGCAGCAATGGTTACCAGGTGCAACAGCAACAGCAGCAGCAGCAGCAGATCCAGCAACAGTTTGGCAGCATCTCGGCGGCATCCGCTGGGGCATACAACGCCATTGCCCAGAGCATTCCAGTGGCCGAGCAGCATACACAGTTTTTGACGGGTCCCGCCGACAGCTACGGACCACCGCCATCTGGCAATGACTTGGACTACGATCATGCGGGATATGCCTCGCAGAAGAACTCGGTGGCGGCATTGCCAGATGGCACGGATCCCCAGCAGCTGCCCGGTCTGGATGGCCTCAATGTGATCTCCGCCCAGAAATCGCAGAGCATTCAACTCGGCAACGGACAGCAGCCCCAGCAGAACTTCCAGGTGCAGTTTGGCGGATCCCTGAGCCAGGGAGGCAACGGTAATGGCAACGGTCCTCAGGGCAATGCCGGTGGAGAGCAGAGTGCCAATCACGAGGAGATCCTCTCGCAGGGTCTGCTCCAGTCCATTCTTACGGCCATCGAGCAGCCCCAGAACCAGAACCAGAACCAGCAGCAGTCATCGTTGCCGCAGAACCACAAGGCGCAGAGCCGCTCCGATTTGGATCATGATCAGGAGCAGGATGAGGCAGAGGATGCCATGGATGTGGATGGGGAGGAGCACGAGCATCAGGGTACGTCTGCCTCCAACAGAGTGGAGGTGCGCGTCCTGCCCGATGCTGATGCCCAGGAGGAGGAGGTGCCCGCTGAGGTCAAGGAGATCGAGCCCATTGTGGCCGCCGATCTGCCCGAGGAGGAGGCCAAGCACTAGAACAGTCCGATCTAAATGGGATCGGAACGAATCAGTCACTAGTTATCATCGTAATTCAATCCTTTAATCATCCCGCGCCGCTTGAATATTATTTATTGCTGCCTCATCCCATTCCTTCCATTCCTCTCTTAATTCTCTTTAAGCCTACTCGTTGCATTAGCTCGTTGCAAACACTTCGATGCAGCGAGTGTCACTCGCACACTCTTTTATAACCTCTCCGAAAGCACTCGTTGCAATCCAGTCGTTCTTTACACCCCACTCGTTGATCCCACTCGTTGCAACTCCCATCCCCCCTTAAACACGGACCAGTTGCCATAAAGAGAGAGAAAGTGTTGGTGGAAACTACAGAGAGAGAGAGAGAGAGAGAGCTAAAAATAGAGAAAGACAGCGGCGAATAGAGAAGCCAACGACACAAACACATACACACAAACACACACACACACACACAGAAAGAGAGATCAAAAGAAGCTACCAACAGAACAGAGTCGTAGGTGGAAGGGGGATGGATTTCCCAAGGGTCTGGTCCCCCTCTTCGAAATGAAAATTGCATTTTCATGCTCAAGCTCGTGTATAAAAAATGTTATTTAAAATATAAATAATTAATTTATTATTACATTGTATTGTATTTTATGCTTTAAAAAAAAAAAAGAAAAAACCATTGAAAAAAAAACTTAAATAAATTATACGAATATACGAAAGAAAACTCATCACTCGCGGGGAAAATGCAATGATGGGAAAGTGCAAAGTCATTCGCCATCGAAAGCGAAACTAAAGAAAAGACATAAAAAAATTAATGGCTTAAAGCAAAAGATGCTTGGCGTTTACGATGGGAAGCGAACGTTGAATACTCTTGTACTCTCAATGGTATATTTACATACATATGTATGTATACGGGACGATCCCAAATGATACACTAATTTGATGGAAGTGCCTTCACCTGAACTTGGTTGTTTTAAGCACGTCTGATACGTGCCTGAGCCGAGACTTCTGCTTTCCCTCGGGCTCTGCCTCTCAGAGCCGATGGCTTCGGGGAGACCGGAAGCTCTGTCCTTCGTTTCCTACAATCTTACTCTCCCCAGTAAGGGTATTAGCACAACTGCAACGGTAAACGCCGAACAATGTGCACAGAGGAGAGAGTGTGAAGACGACGCCTACAGCAACAGGTCACGTATGCAGACACACAGTACAGTGGTGGTCACTAAAGTAGAACACCAAACACACGCGCGAAAGTCTGAGTACCAACATTGGTACTACACCTTCCTGCTGGAGCCAAATACCCAATATTTTGTACGCAACTGTACGCACTGAGAGGTGATTTCACATCCAACAACTCTGGTGGCACCTGAAAAAAATCCTGTATATTTAAATTGGCTTTCAGGGGTCACCCACAAACAATAGCTGGCCATTAGAGCCCTCAAAGGTTCGGCCCTGATCTTAAGTTTTGTTTTTCATATTTTTCCATTGGATATTGATGGCTTATTGAAAATATCAACTTTGTCAGCAAAGAGCGAACAGAGTTCATGGTAAATGAGAGTCCGTCTCTCTCCCACTGGTTCTTAGATCGAAGTCGAACGATTTCTGGAGAAAGAGTGACCTTTAGACCTCGTTTGGGTTCCCTTTTTCTCCTTGAAATTCCCTCTGGAACGATGCCACATTCAATCATGAACCGATTGAATCCAACTTTTCTGACAGCGATATCCCAGGATACACCCTTCCCTCCAGCCACCGTCTCCTAGCAGCTAATGAATAATTTTTCGACTTTTGGCTCAAGTTTTTCCCAAAACAACTTATGCATCATTTCGATTCCAGTGCCATGGTATCCGTATCCTGTATCCGCGTATCATTGTCCCGTGTCTGGTGTATTCTGCGGAATGGGTGCCGTGCCTGGCCTCCAACGACTACCCCGAAGAAACAATAAAAGGCATAAAATTAATTAAATTAGCCATAAAACAAAGCGAAAGGTGATTAATTAACTAGAAATTTATACCGTTATATAGCCCGCCCAAGTGGGGTGGCTAGGGTTGAGCCACCCACCAAAGGGGGGGGGGGGGGGCTCTCTCTCTTTCCCTCTGCTTTTGGGCCGCGTATTTGCTCTTTCATTAATATTTTTGGTTCCTGGACTTCACAGAGGAGTGGTCTTCGTCTTGCTGCTCCTTGCGTTTGCTTTTGAGTTGGCCCCCTCCCCCCGTTTCCCCGCAGTTTTCCCTCTCCGTTTACCCTCTTCATTTCTTGTTTTTCGCGTAGCCACTACCTTTGTTTGCACAACACGGAGAGAGAGTGGGAGAGCAATGAACGGACGGACAGCAGGCCTATCCGACGGACGACTGGATGGATGGACAAGGCCGTTTGCTTGGGGTTTGTGGCAGGCGGGGGGAGGGGGGGATCCGGGGAGGGGATGGCTTTTCATTCAGCTTTCGCACTTTTAATTAATGTTATTAAAAAGTCGAAAATGAGCAGCAATATAAGGACTACCATCCGCAGAGGGCTAGCCATGAAGAAAGTAAAGGCAATCTGTGTGCTCCTTTCATTAAAAGAATATACAGTCAAGGAAAAAAGTCAACATATAGCACCAATTTTGCGATATTTCGAGTTTTCAATTTAGTCGGGTATTTCCCTTTTTTACCTCCATTTTTTGAAATATTTAAAGAAATTCCCACGCTGTATGTTGACTTTTTTCCTTGACTGTACATGGATACAGATTTAACAGATACTCGTTGATATCCATGGCAATGTAGATGTATGTATATGTAGATGTGCTACAGATATCAGAGATCCCAATATTCTTCTCAGTGTATTTTGGTCCGTTTGCTGTCCAAGAATTCAGCACGAGATTGTGCGCGTTGCCTTCTTCTCGATTTACCGCTTGTTCTCCCCCCCCCCTAGCTATCCGATTGCTGTGCATGATTGATCTTGTCCCATGGCTGTGTAGTTGTTAGCGAGAGAGTGCCGACTCGACTCGCTCAGAGAGGATCGAAAGAAGACAAGAAGAAGAGAGCGCGCGTTGAGCGTGTTCCTCAGCTTCAATGTTTGGGTGTGGGTTAGAAAGAGAAAGAGCGTCGGGGTAATTGCGTCGCAGCCAATGATTGTCTTTGAGCGTTGGGTGATTCCACTCAGATCGGAATTCTAATAAGAGCCCTACGTACAGATTCTGTCCTTACAGAATGTGCCACGAATCACAGATTGGCGGCGACTTATAATTCCAGGCTTACAGGCTTTTTTCTGCACAATTTCTGTCATCAAAAACCCCTTTCCCGCTGGCATCCCCTTGCACCGTATAATCCCTTGTTGAAAGAGTAGTATTCGTGGATTTCCATTTACTTTTGCGAGGCATGAGTGCCAGCGCCAGGACACCGCCTACCAATTGAGTAAATTTGTCATTTCATTCAGCGGTGTGGAAAGCGTGGAAAACGCTGGAAAATGTAATTTGCAGCAACAATTGAGGGAAAGTGGTATTTTGATTAACCGTCGATTTGCATGCGAATGCGGAAATGCAGCGCGAAAAAGGAGTAAACCATAAAAACGGAGTCCCAAAGGTAGCCGACTATTGTATGCTCTGTAGAGAAAACAAAGGAATTTAAGGAAGGGTATACCAATGGCTTTTCATCAAAGAAAACTCAGGGCAGGTCTTTTCATGTAGAGATTTGGTGATTATTCAATGGTATCTTAGGAGATTTCTTGAAGAAAATATAAGAATACACTCAAACCGAATTCGAGCTCAAATAAAACCAAATTCAACTCAAATTCTGTGCTTCGGGAGGCAGGGCAGACTCTCACCTATTCGATCTTATCCCACAAGACTGCCGTACCCTCTTTGTGCCCACCCCATCTATAAGGTATATTTCCTGTTCAAACGTAGGTCTCTTTCCGAACAAAAAACACTGGAAAATTGTGTTGATTTTTGCGAAGTATTTTATTGCACTTTTTAATATTTATTCGACGAGTAGTTTTTTTCCTCGGGGGCTGCGACGGATCCATCCATCCTTATTTACACTCTCCACCATTCGATGGAGTGGCGCGAAGCGTGTGGCATGTGTGGTGTGTGGCGTCACTGTTTACACAGCGTATACGTAATATGGGATATGGGATACACGGAATGCGAATGCGAATGCGGATGCGGATGCGAATGTGTTCTCCGTGTTCTGTTTTGTTGGCCTTGCACTTGGATGCTGGCCATTTGGAATCTCAGTTCTTTGGTCTCCATTCGGTGGTTCCCTGTGCCATGGAATGTCCTTTCCTTCTGCACGTTCCGCCTTTTTCCTTGTGCCATTGTGCGGCGCCCCTAATTACAGTTAATTGGTGCGCCCCTGCCCCTGCCCACCCCCCCCCAGTGGGGCGGTATGGCAAAGGGGGCACAGAAAAATACACAATTTTCCACTTTGTACTAATCAAGAACTCATTATCCTTCATTATGCCTTTTCAAGTTGTTGTGCCCCGTGCCCAGCCGATGTGCCCCACCGTTGTGCCACCGTGTCGCATGGTCGCAAGAACTGCAATTGCAATGCGGAGACATGACCCTTGGCCCATGACCCCGACCCACCACCCCCTCCCCCCCACTCCTGCCCAGTCATATCCTTTCTTATCCTCCTGCTCCTTTCGGCGCTCTACGGGAGCCATCATTCATGCGGTGCTGCGGCGCTGCGGCGCTGGTGGAAAAGGAGCCTTAAATTATGCACAATTTTATAAATACACGCGAGAGGACGAAGAGAGAGCGTAGCACATGAGCACTTAGCCAGGACGCAGGACGTGACTGCGGTCACGCATAAATAACACACACACACACGTCACAGGTCACAGGTCAGGGCGCTGTTCCAGAGAAACCAGAAGAGGCCACACAGTGGGGGGATATAGGAAGGCGCAGAAGAAGAGAAATCCCTGTAGATTCTTAAGTTTCTTAAGTTTCTGGGATAACCTCTATGAAAAGTTCCCTTAAACCTCGAAACGAACATTGATCCCTTCCCTATTTCACTTTTTTCTTGACCCAAAAACTATTGAAATGATAA